CATCCTGAGGGTCCCACCAGGGTGTGGGCATGGGGGTGTGAGGAATGTTGGCCATCATCGTCATCATCGTCATCATCATCCTGAGGGTCCCACCAGGGTGTGGGCATGGGGGTGTGAGGAATGTTGGCCATCATCGTCATCATCGTCATCATCATCCTGAGGGTCCCACCAGGGTGTGGGCATGGGGGTGTGAGGGGGAGATCCTTGGCAGCGTTGGCCATCATCATCATCATCCTCGTCATCATCCTCGTCATCGTGGGGGTCCCACCAGAGCATCAGCATCGGGGTGTGATCCCTGGATCTTCCTCATCTTCCTCATCTTCATCATCGTCATCGTCATCCTGGGGGTCCCACCAGAGTGTGGGCACTGGGATGTGACTCCTGGATCTTCCTCATCTTCATCATCGTCATCCTGGGGATCCTATCGAAGTGTCAGCACCAGGGTGTGACCCCTGGATCTTCCTCATCTTCGTCATCCTCCTGCTCCTCATCGTCATTGTCGTTATTGTCATCATCATCATCAGGGGGTCCCACCAGAGCACCGGTGTCTGACCATGGGACCCTCCTCCTCCTCCTCCTCATCATCATCCTCCTGGGGGTCCCACCAGGGCATCAGCACCAGGGTGTGACCCCTGGGTCTTCCTCATCTTCATCATCATCATCATCAGGGGGTCCCACCAGAGCACCGGTGTCTGACCATGGGACCCTCCTCCTCCTCCTCCTCCTCCTCCTCCTCCTCATCATCATCCTGGGGGTCCCACCAGGGCATCAACACCAGGGTGTGACCCCTGGATCTTCCTCATCTTCATCATCATCATCATCGTCATCATGGGGGTCCCATCAAAGCATCAACACCAGGGTGTGACCCCTGGATCTTCCTCATCTTCATCACCATCATCATCATCAGGGGGTCCCACCGGAGCACCGGTGTCTGACCATGGGACCCTCCTCCTCCTCCTCCTCCTCCTCATCATCATCATCATCCTGGGGGTCCCACCAGAGCATCAGCATCGGGGTGTGACCCCTGGATCTTCCTCATCTTCATCACCATCATCGTCATCGGCATCGGGGGGGTCCCATCAAAGCGTCAGCACGGGGGTTCCTCAGCTTCCTCCTCCTCCTCCTCCTCCTCCTCCTC